AACGGCGTTCAATCGTCACTGGCACGTCGGATTGAAGGGCTAACTTCGTGAACAATAGGTGATCATCATGACAAGCAGAGAACTCGCGGCAATGGCTCTTCGTCACCGCTATCACAGGGCACAACTATGGCATGTTGCAGCAGGCTCTGTTTACACGGGCACGTTTAGGCGCACGGTGCTTCAGTGCAGAGAGGCAGCGGGCAGGGATGTAGACAATGACACAGAGAAGGGGGAGAGAGGGGCATCAGTCACAGAAGTGAACGGCGTTCAATCGTCACTGGCACGTCGGATTGAAGGGCTAACTTCGTGAACAATAGGTGATCATCATTGTTGTGCAAGTAAGCCGCATTATGAAAGTTGCTTATACATATATATTGGTGGCTTGGAGGGCATTGTGCTACCTAGTTCCCTAGAAGCAGTAAGGAAGGAAAAGGACACCTCATTTGTAAAGCCCAAAGAGAACTGGCCAATAGCACCCCGAAAAACCGCAGCAACTGCCATTATTATTATTGTTGTTTTTTTTTTTTGGAAGGGGGCTGCGTTCGTGCCTATAGTGGATATGTGTGTGGCAACTTGCTCGCCAAGCCCTTAATTTCGTCTCCGCAATTTTATCACGAGTGGGACAGAAGTGGTGCGTGCTGCGATGACTCGCCTTTACGCAGGAGGAGCGAGTGTCATGGAAAACACATGCTTCCCCCTAAGAAGTGCGACGACGTCCCTGCTGTTCGTCACCTCGGTGCCGTCAATCTGTACAACACGCCAGCCAACAACGCTGCAAGGCTCCCCAACCCCCGCTGCCCGAAGCGCCACCGAAAACGGAGTGTCGTTCGCGTTTTTCCCAGTGGAGCCGTCATCGGGGCCGGCCCTGTGGTCTAAGCCAGACAGTCGGCGTATTGCTGGACGCTCCCCGTAGAGGGAAAACCCCAGCGGTGTGGTTGCGCTAGATCGCTTGGCGTGAATTGTGAGGGTGTCCACTACGGCCGCTCCCTCTGATTGCGTGGCTGCCCCGACAGAGCCGTCCGTGGCGGCATCGGCGTCCATTAGGCGCTGCATCGTCTTTTTTGCACTCCGCCTTCTCCGCTGCTTCTTGACATGAAACAGCAGGCTGTGGCGCACTGCAAGCAGACAGGTTGCCTCCAGCCGCGCCAGAATGCAGTGATTCGCCCGCTTGAGGTGTGTGCGACGCGTGCGGTCGAGCCCCTCCACCTCCGCCGCCAATCCGGGAAAGCTCTTGTGCAGCGTGCGTGCCATGTTTCGCGCCCACACCCGCTGCTGCTTCGCCGGTGACGAGGCCTCGCCAGACGGTAGGCGGGCGGGTCGCTCCTCCCTCCGCAAGCCATCGCGGTAGCAGCGGAGGACGTTGGTCACCACGTACAGGCGCAATGCGACGTAGCCAAGGGCCCGCCCAAAGTGCCGCAGCGTCCCGCCCACGGAACCCACGCGAACAAGGGCGGACGCCGCTGCATCGTCGGCGTCTGAAGACTTTAGCCGCTGCTGCAGCCCCTCTGTCAGCTCGCGGTTCTGACACAAAACAAACACCATCTCCTGCAGCTGGAAAAGCGGCATCCACAAAAACGAGGGATGCAAGACGTGGGCATGAACAACGCTTAGAATCGATTGTGCTTGCCGCCGCTCTTGTCGTTCGTCCGCCAACTCACCTGCGCATGACATGCCCGTAAAGCACCGCAGCACTTTTTTGCTGCGCAGATGCCACAACTGCTTCGCTGTGTTGTGATCCAGAGCAAACAGAACCTCCTTGACGTAGGAGGACACCACTGAGCCGTCAATCGCATCGACAGAGCCGCCCAGCCCACCACCAAGCAGCGATTGGTGATCACGACGATACAGCGAGAGAAAAAACGCCACCTCCGTCGCCTGTGAAAGGCTCACTCCACACACACGAAACGCCGACTTTACTCCGCGGCGCCGCTCCTCCCCGTCACCGTCCATGAGGTCACTCACCTGCTTGAGTGCCAGAAAGCAATGAAGCGAGCTCGTCAGCACCGCCGTTCCTGCGCTGTCAATGTAGTGGCGGCGAAGCAGTGGAAAGAAGGAGGTTGATATGCCACGCACAAACCGATACACAGAGCACTCAATAAATGAAACGTCACCCTTTTCCTCATAGACTTGTGTGACCGCAGACGTATCGTGCGACGCATACATTCGTAGGTACGTGTGCACGAGAGAACTCACCGCAACACGCAAGGAGGACGCAGCCTGCAGCACCGCCTCCCACTGCACATCCGCTGCTGCGCCCGCTCTTCGGGCACCCACTCCTGCGCGAGAAATATCCGTTGGGATTGTCAGTTCCCGGCCCGTCTTTTTACACGCAGCAAAGTAGATTTCTACCTCCATCTCCAATACAGTGCGGCACAAGACAGCATGAGGCATCACCATTGAAGCCGTTGCTGTAGCCCCGTTTCCTTGCCAGGCAGCAAACTTGCTTACAATACGCTCCAGCAAGCGAAGAAGCAGCAAGGACTTCTCCGGGTTTAACTCAAAAAACTTGTCGCCTTCACCCACTTGCAGCTCGCCTCTCAAGTGGGCGTAGCGAAGGTTGAGCGAGGCATGTACCGTGCGGTGCGTCATCACCTTGTCGTTTGAGCTGCGCTCCAGCGGAGGCGCCATCTTCTGCCAAAGTTGTTGCAGACACGAAACGAAGCGCCGCTCCAACTTCAATGGGGGCGCGTGAGGAAGTGAGGAGGCCGTCAGCAAGAGCCACATGACCATTGGGGCGAAGGCACATCCACCATCGGGCACCTCCCCGCTGCAAGGAAGGTTCGAGCTGCCCTCCATGACTGCAAGAAGACATTCAACAGCGAAAAGGACAGGGGAAAGCTGCGAAACATGTTCTGCGCCTTCTGCGAAGGGTGTTGCTCCCTCAACCACGCCTGCCAAGAAGGCGTGGGCCGCGCTCCATATAGATGCGACGCAGTCGTTTACGCGGCGCTCAAGCAAAAGCACTTCTTTACCGCCACGCTGCCTCACAGAAGGCCTCGAAAAGTGCCAATGCAGCTCATCCGCAACCGAAACCGTCATTGAAATGACCGTCGTGGCGCACAGACATAACGTCTGCCGACACGCCGCATCGCCTGGCTTACCGGGCCCAGCCTCTACAGTCATGCCAAACACGGAACGGCAGGTGTCATCGAGAGAGGCAAAGGCCTCCACGTGCATTTTGAGCCCGTCGTAGCGCCAAGCGTGAAGCTGATTTGTCTCGGCCGTACCACCCTCGCCAAGGTCCCGCCAACGGCGTTTGCCCTCTCGACGAAGCACGCGCAAGGACTCCCAAAGCGCCAGGGACAATGTGGCGAGTGCCCCGCCGCGTAACTCAATTTCAGAGAGGTGTTTCACCTGCCGAGTATGCAGGTTCGCTTCGGTGCGGAGGGCACAGCGGTGGAGCAGGGCCGCCACCTCGCAATTCCCGCTCTCCCTGTTCATCAGGCTGCCCGCTGCGGTTCCATCGCTCGCGGAGGGGGCGCTCAAACCTTGGCGCCCGATTGCCACTTTACAAAAGAGCGGCAGAAGCACAGGGAGCTTCATGCACGCGTCTGCAAGCCGGGTACGCGGTGTTGAACTGTTTTTTTCTGAGGCACCTGCTGGCGGCTTTTCACCCGTGGCGAGGCTGCGGACAAGTTGGTCCATGTCCCTCAGTTCAAACCCAAGTGAGTGGACAAGCCGCTGCAACGCCACATCCCCAGCCCCCTCGCATTCCTCCGCGGAGTCGGGCGCATCGGCAATAAAATTGACGCCTCTGCAGCGTCCTGCCCACTGCGGCGAGCACAGTGGCACCCACAGCCTTCGCCTCATCCCCTAGCTCGGGAAACGAAGAAGGGCAAGAAGAACAACAATAAAAAAACAACAACGCACTTACACGGAGGAAGTGCGAGCCTACCCCCCACAGCTGTGGGCCAACAAAACAGTTCCTAATTGAAACAATAAGAACGCATCTTTCCCCACATGTTTTTTTTATTTTTCCTAGCCCCTTTTTTCTACAGCCTCGATAAGGCACATCCCCAGTAAGGTGTAGGCCCCCTCACGCGCAGCAGACATTCGTGAGAGTGGCCACACCGACGCCCCAAGGCAAGAATCGTCACCGTCAGCCGCTAATAAAGAACAGAATTGGGGCCAAAGACCAGCAGAAAACTCAACGCATTCACCGAGGCAACAATCAGTGGGACCAATTTCCTGCCCTTGTAGTAGCGCTGCCCCATGGCAGAGGCGAGGAGAAGCGAGACGGCGGCAGCAAGCCGGTTGCCCACCTTGTCCTTGGGATCCCTCATCAAAAAGATGGTTGAGACACCCATCAAGGCACCACTTAATGAGCCCGCAATCAGGCTTGCCACACTCCCCTTGCGGTAACCCATGACGCCGCCCAGTGGCAGCAGAACAGTAAGCGAGCCAGCAACGTACTTACTTGCCATCGTGCTTGCTTCTTCTCAGAGTGACGACAACAACAAAAAAAAGAACTTGAAAAAAAAAACTATTTTTCTTGCTTTGTTTTTAGAGCTTTTTTGTTGGACTTTGATTGATTTCGCTTGAGTACGAAGAAAAGGGATAAAACAAGTGGGGAGTGCAAGATGACCCTTCACCGTCATGGGAACTGACCGGAAGCTGGTCAAGCGCAAGAGTTGCGCGTAATCGTCACCGTTGCAAGGAGAGCATCTATCGCACAGGGAAGAACGGCGTCGTTGGCTCCCGCAAGCCCACACGCATGCCTTCGCGGTCATGAGCTTCCACGCATCGCAGGCGGTAGGGCGGCAAGTAGCGGCGACACAACAGTCCGCCACTTCAGATTCATTTTCCTTGTGTAGAGGGTCTGGCGTATGTCATCCACGCTCTGCGGTGCCTTCGTGGGATGCAGGCGAATATCGTCGAGGGACGAAGCCCCCAGAACTGAAGTGTAGGTAGGACGTCCGCAGCGCTTTCCGCGCGTCGTTGTCGTCGTCGTCATCGGAACTGCTTCCGCCCCGTCCTGCAGCAAACCACACGCAACAAGAAGTGGGGCAGGGCTAGTGTATAAGTTTCTCCAGGCCTTCGGTCGCTCAACAACCTGCGTGGAGGTTACATAGTAATCAAGAAGACCCTTCGGGGCGTGTTGCGGGCCGCCCACGGACCACTGAGCTCCCCTCTCCGGCGAGGCCGGCGGAAGAGCATCCCGGCGCAGAGTTGTGGCCCCCTGCTCTTGCGGTTGCGGCACCGCACTTGTCGCCGGCACCTCACAGAGGACGGGGGGAGCCTCTGAAACAGCCGACACTTTTTCGGTGGCAGGCGCCTCTCCCACCACCGGCAGCCTCTCGGGGTGTGTGGAAAGGCGATCCCTCTCTGTTGCTACCGGTGCCGTATGGCCCTCGCCTCCCGCAAAGTCCTCCACCCTTCTCGAAAACGCCGTCCCATCCTCTGCCTCGACAGACCACATAATGCGCACCTTGCACAGAGCTGCCTCCCCTGCCTTTAGTGCCACTGTGCGAAAACCCACGCAGCGATTGACGCCGCCAATGGGGATCGCCTCGCTGCTTGCCAAGACGGTGTCCCCATGCAACACTGAGAGAAAAAGTGTGTCCGTCTCTGGCGCACTGCGAACCTCAAACTCTGACGGGAAATGTGCCACGCGGCGCCGGGCACCACGCCTGTGACAGTAAACCTCAAGACATGCTACAGGGCCTCCTCCCTCCGGAGGCTGCCCATCCATCCATTCGCACCCAAGCAGCTCCACGTGGTAGCGAAACATCTCATCTACTGTCAAAAACAAAACAAAAAAGAGAGGAGAGGGGGGGGTGAGAGGCCCACAGTTAGCAGAGTTCTTCGGCCAGTATCACACTGCGTGACGCCAAGAAGAATAGATAGAGCAACAAGTAAACAAGTGTGTGTATATTATTTGGATATTTTTTTTTGGCGGCCACGAGATCCCATTCGATGCAGAAGCAGGGAATGAGTATGTCTCTACGCCGCATCAAAATTGGAATACATGGATGAAGGTGCCATACGTAGCCGCAGCACACGTATACACGCAAACAGGATGAGAGGCTCAAGCGCGATGGCAGGCTTTAGAGCAACATCATACATGCAACACGCAGATAATAAGGAATAGGAAAAACGCGGAGCTGGCGCAAACGAGCTTGGGTGAAAGAGCCCATTGAAATCACTTCCTCAGCTGCTTCTTCTTCTTTGTCCATTGTTTCTTTAAGCTCACTTTTACATGGGAAAGTTGAAATTTTTTTTCGTTTTCCTCAACCCCGCTAAAGATTGCTTTTTCTGATTTTCCCCGCCCTTCACTTCTCAAGAAATTATGGCGCAGTAATTCCAGAAGCCCAAATTTACATAAAAGCCCCCGTGCCACAACACGAAGTAAAAAAGAAAGGGCCCAATGCATAATTAACGTTCACATATAAAAATAACACGGTCCGCCACTACAGTTCGCCTCCACCCGCCGCAGCTTCCCCTTCGGACACATGCTGTGGAACCTCATCGACGTTTTTTTTATTTCACTCTCGCCGCCCTTCCCAGAGGACGTAGCTTCATCATGTGACGGTTCCGATAATTCCTTATCGGAAGGCGCATGCTCCTTTGCCTCCTCTTGGTGTCCCACTGGTGCAGCCACCGCCTCCAGTTCGTGCTCGGCGGCCTGTTCGCCTTCGGGATGCGAAGACACCTTCGATGAGGCATGAATGCCCGAATGCGCCTCCGCTTCGTGCTCGGCGGCGACAGCGGCGGGCGCCTCGGCCTCCACCGGGTACTCCCCGCCCTCCACTGCTGCATGGGCAGACGCATGCTCCTTTGCCTCCTCTTGGTGTCCCTCTGGTGCAGCCACCGCCTCCAGTTCGTGCTCGGCGGCCTGTTCGCCTTCGGGATGCGAAGACACCTTCGATGAGGCATGAATGCCCGAATGCGCCTC